GATTGGAATGAAAACTGACCTTTTCCAGACCTGTGGCCACTGCTGAGTTTTCCAAATTTGCTGGCATATTGAGTGCAGCACTTTCACAGTGTCATCTTTCAGGATTTGAAATAGCTCAACTGGAATTCCATCACCTCCACTAGCTTTTTTCATAGTGATGCTTTCTAAGGCCCACTTGACTTCACATTCCAGGATGTCTGGCTCTAGGTGAGTGATCACACTAGTGATTATCTGGGTCTTGAAGATCTTTTTTGTACAGTTCTTCTGTGTATTCTTGCCACCTCTTCTTAATATCTTCTGCTTCTGTTAGGTCCATATCATTTCTGTCCTTTATTGAACCCATCTTTGCATGAAATGTTCCCTTGGTATCTCTAATTCAACATTCAATATCACGGTAATCCAAGCCTATGCCCCAACCAGTAACGCTGAAGAAGCTGAACGGTTCTATGAAGACCTACAGGACCTTTTAGAACTAACACCCAAAAACGATGTCCTTTTCATGATAGGGGACTGGAATGCAAAAGTAGGAAGTCAAGAAACACCTGGAGTAACAGGCAAATTTGGCCTTGGAGTACGAAATGAAGCAGGGCAAAGGCTAATAGAGTTTTGCCAAGAGAACACACTGGTCATAGCAAACACCCTCTTCCAACAACCATAAGAGAAGACTCTACACATGGACATCACCAGATGGTCAACACCGAAATCAGATTGATTATATTCTTTGCTGCCAAAGATGGAGAAGCTCTACACAGTCAGCAAAAACAGACTGGGAGCTGACTGTGTCTCAGACCATGAACTCTTTATTGCCAAATTCAGACTTAAAGTGAAGAAAGTAGGGAAAACAACTAGACCATTCAGGTATGACCTAGATCAAATGCCTTAAGATTATACAGTGGAAGTGAGAAATAGATTTAAGGGACTAGATCTGATAGACAGTGCCTGATGAACTATGGACAGAGGTTCGTGACATTGTACAGGAGACAGGGATCAAGACCATCCCCATGGAAAAGAAATGCAAAAAGGCAAAATGGTTGTCTGAGGAGGCCTTACAAATGGCTGTGAAAAGAAGAGAAGCGAAAAGCAAAGGAGAAAAGGAAAGATAAACCCATTTGAATGCAGAGTTCCGAAGAATAGCAAGGAGAGATAAGAGAGCCTTTCTCAGTGATCAGTGCAAAGAAATAGTGGAAAACAACAGAATGGGAAAGACTAGAGATCTCTTCAAGAAAATTAGAGATACCAAGGAACATCTCATGCAAAGATGTACATTCATCAGCCATACTTTTCGAGGGTGCAAGGAAAGGCAAAAATATTCAGAAGTTTTCTTCCCAGAGCTTTAGATAAACATCTCTGGAGAATTTATGAAAGTTGAGCTCTTTTCTGTAAGATGATCATTGTATTGGTCCTTTCTTTCCTTAGTATGAGAAGTGGAAGAAAAATGTATTCTAAGCTTTGGTTTCATAAAAGGAGGAAAGAAATACTTAAATTTGGAGGGTTTGGTTTTCTAAGTGATGGCTAAGATACTGCAAAGTAGACTTTATAGCAGTTAATACTGCAATTAGCTTTATAGCATTTAATATACTTAATTGTGGAGATAATAGAAGTAACTCTTTTAATAGAGAAATCATTAATAGATTATATAAGAATTTTCTTTGAAAAATCCTGTAAGTCATCCATAAGGTACAGTGGTTAGACCCAACATCTCTTCCTCAGTTGACGCTGTTCTTTTTTGCTCCAGCATTAGAATAAATCAGTGTTTATTTGCTTGCCCCAGATGAAGTGGTTAGCTTGCATTTAGGGGCTATGCCTAATGAACAATCTGTAATTAAAAATTCTAGAATTCATTCAGCTTGGTGCACAAGGCATAAGGGAACTGATATAAACTGAGGGAACAGCTGAGTGATGTGCTCACCCTGGGTCATCAGCATATATTATTTTGAGATGAATGGTGGATGAAGTTGACTATATCATTTATTTTTTAAATTAATTTTGAAAGTTTAATTTTTATTATAGTTGTTTTACAATGTTGTGTTGGTTTCTACTGTGCAGCAAAGTGAATCAGCTCTACGTGTGCATATAGCCCGTCTTTTTTGGATTTCCTTCCCGTTTAGGTCATCACAGAGCTTTGGGTAGAGTTCCCTGTGCTATACAGTAGGTTCTCATTAGTTATCTATTGTATACATAGTGGTCTGTATGTGTCAGTCCCCATCTCACAGTTCATCCCACTTCACCCTTCCCCCTTGGTGTCCATATGTTTGATCTCTGCATCTGTTGTCTCTATTTCTGCTTTGTAAACAAGTTCATCTGTACCATTTTCCTTGATTCCACATAAAAGTGATATCATGCGATATTTGTTTTTCTCTTTCTGACTCACTCTGTGTGACAGCCTCTAGGTCCATCCATGTCTCTGCTAATGGCACAATTTCATTTCTTTTTATGGCTGAGTAATATTCCATTGTATATATGTACCACATCTTTATCCATTCATCTGTTGATGGACATTTAGATTGCTTCCATTATCCTGGCTGTTGTAAATAGTGCTAAAGTGAACATTCAGATGCATGCATTTTTTTGAATTATGGTTTTCTCCTGGTATATGCCCAGGATTGGGATCGCTGGGTCTTGTGGTATTAGGTTGATGAAAGAGTAATTGCGGTTTTGGACCCTGAATTTTAAATCATTATAACTAGAATCAAAGACGTCTTTATTAATCAAAATAGGAACCATTACAGTCAACATATTTTTGCCAATGAGAAATAAGTTTGTTTATTCTTGTAGCATAAAAATCTGTGCTTTGGGATTCAGTGAACTTTTGGAAAGCATTTTCTGTCTCCTGATGATTGTGGAAGCATTTTCCCTGCAAAAGGTTGTCGAGATGCTTGAAGAAGTGGTAGTTGGTTGGCGAGAGGTCAGGTGAATATGGCGGATGAGGTGAAACTTCGCAGCCAAATTCGTTCAACTTATGAAGCATTGGTTGTGTGCTGTGCAGTTGGGTGTTGTCGTGGAGAAGAATTCGGCCCTTTCTGTTGACCATCGATGGCAGCAGGTGTTACAGTTTTCTGTGCATCTCATTGATTTGCTGGGCATACTTCTCAGATGTAATGGTTTCACTGGAATTTGGAAAGCTGTAATGGATCAGACCGGCACACACAGACCACCAAACAGTGACCATGACCTGTTTTTGGTGCAAGTTTGGCTTTTGGAAGTGCTTTGGAGCTTCTTAGTCCAGTCACTGAGCTGGTCATCGCTGGTTATTGTATAAAATCCACTTTTTGTTGCATGTCACAATCCAGTCAAGAAGTGGTTTGTTGTTGTTGCATAGAAAAAGAGAAGATGACACTTCCAAGTGATGACTTTTTTGATTTGCAGTCAGCTTATGAGTCACCCACTTATCAAGCTTTTTCACCTTTCCAATTTGTTTCAAGTGCCAAATGACCACAGAATGGTCGACGTTGAGTTCTTGGGTAACTTCTCACATAGATGTAAGAGAATCAACTTTGATGATCTTCTTAGTTGGTTGTTGTCAACTTCCAATTGCCAGCCACTGTGCTCCTCGTTTTCAAGGCTTTCGTCTCCTTTGCAGAACTTCTTGAACCACCATTGCACTGTATGTTTGTTAGCAGTTTCTGGGCCAGATGCGTTGTTGATGTTGTGAGTTGTGTCCACTGCTTTACGACCCATTTTGAGTTCAAATAAGAAAATTGCTCATTTGCTTTTTGTCTAACATCATTTCCCTGGTCTAAAATACATATGAAATAAATAGCAAGTAATAAGTTATTAGCCAAAAAACATAAAGTGAGAAGTGCACATTAAAATGATATAGAACATAAGCATATTTATTTAAGAATGCATTCCAGTATCAAATGGAAAAGTTCAACAATGCAAAACCACAGTTACTTTTGCACCAACCTAATAGTTTTGTTTTTAATTTTTTAAGGAACCTCTATACTCTTCTCCATTGTGGCTATACCAATTTACATTCCCACCAATGGGAATGTAAGGCCAGACACTATAAAACCCTTAGAGGAAAACATAGGCAGAACACTCTATGACATAAATCACAGCAAGATCTTTTTTTGACTATATCATTTAAATGATTTGTCTCTTTTATTTTGCATTATTATGCGTAAATGGTTGCATTCTCAAATGCACATATGATCTAACTGCACTATAATATAATTATAGTAACAGCCGAAGATGAATGCAAATAGAGGTAATAATAGTATTGAGAGTAGGGTGGCTGATAGGAATGTTTATTAAATTCGTGTCTATTGGCCTTTTTAACTTACTCTAGGAGATTAGCAAGGGTAAGTAACCATCAGTTCCTATTAAGTGCTTCTTTCCCTTCTCTTTCCTGCTCTACCTAGATTGTTTTCTTACTTCTCTGTTTGCTTGTGTTTTGTCCTCAGCTCCTTGGTATTCTCATATCTTTAATATCAGCAGTGTACCTGATTTCCTTTAGAATTACTGCCAAAAACTATGAATGTACAATTACTTTTTGTAGCTCTGTTGTGTATGTAAGATAAACTAAAATATGATTCTAAAAATGATGCTCTACTTTCACAAACCTGAACCTCAAACTTGTTTATCCACATTACAAATAGCTTTGCATGAAAGTTGTCTAACTTGTAAAACACATTATTTGATTTTCATATTTTGATAAGAATTAAAAATGTGAATCTCTTTCACTAGTGTGAGTAAACAAGAACTGATGAGATAATGTGGCATAGAAGTTTCACTTAGCACAGGGTCCTGGGCTCAGCTGTGTCAGTAATCTGCTCTGTAATCCAGGGCAAGTCATGTTTCTCACCTGTAAAATGTGGGGGGTTGTCTTGATGACCTTGAAAATGAAGATTTCCCTCTGGGGCAGAGAAGGCAAATTTGTAAAAGAAGTTGTTTTAAAAAACATCTTTATTTTATGTAAGTTGTCCCTGAAAGTTAATGATTTTTCTAGAAATGATGTATAATCACTTTTGAATTTGTGTATATCTCATCTGTTACAGGATGCTTTAATCTGGATCCCAATAGAGTTCTGGATGTCATTTTAGAAGTGTTTGAATGCAGGCCAGAACACGATGACTTCTTTATATCTTTATTAGAATCTTACATGAGTATGTGTGAACCGCAAACACTGTGTCATATTCTTGGGTTCAAATTCAAGTTTTATCAGGTAAAAAAAAATGTGTGTGTGTGTGTGTGTGTGTGTGTAAATTTTGTGATTTTATATGTAAAATTTAAATTTTATTTTTAAAAGATTGGTTTCAGCTCAGCTATTTTAGCAGAAGGGATAAGAAACTACATTAGTGGTATGAATGATGTGATGTGAAAGCCTCTAAGAAAGCCTAATAAATTTTTGCCTTGAGAGAGATGGAGTCAGGGAAGACTTTACAGATACTTTTTTTTGGAACCTGGTGCTTGAAGGCTGTACAAGTTTGTTGCGAGTTGTCTGTGCAGAAGTAACAAATAGTGTGTGAATGAAGACATGGGAGATAGAATGTATATAACAAGTTGAAGAAATGGTACTTAGTCTCATGTGACTGGATTGTAAGATATGGGGGGAAAAGGGACAGGAAGTGAGGTTGGAAAGGTTGGCACAACTTTAGATTGTCAGGAGCCTTGAATGCTGTGTTGAGTTAGAATTTTATCATATAGGTAGTTACCGCTGAAATTTTTCATGGATGTGAATAAATTCTTGAGGCCTTTCTCATATCATTTTTCGCTTACACCACTGCATAGTTATCTTGCAGATCTCTGGCCTCTGATTATTTCTCTTTCAATCCATCTTTCATATTATGGATATACTACTGTTACATTCTGAAAGAGATCTAATTAACACACTGCTTAAAAACTTTTGCTGGCAGGATGAAATTCAAACTTCTAAATGTAGCAGAAAAGGCTCTTCACAATCTAGGCCCATTCTTTCTTTCCAGCCTTATCTTTAGTGATTTTTTTCCCCTTCACATCTAATATTCTAGTCATATTAAATTACTAGCTGTTACTTGAACTTTGGTATGGGCATTGCTATGTATAGACCTCTGTCTAAATGCAGTTCCTTATAACTGGAAAATGTACTTACCTACCCCCTCTCATCTGTCTTTTCTTCATCTTGTAAATTCTTATTTATTCTTTAAGATCAAGTACTTCTTGAACTATAAAAGTTTTTGGTGGACACTTCACCCATGCAGAGTTTAAGTCACCTCTTAAATTCTGTTCTTATAAAATGACTCAGACTTCTAGCACTTATCAGGTTATACTGGAATAAACTGTGTCTGTCTCCTTTGCTAGGTTGTGAGTCATTTAGGACAGGATCTATAGGTTGTGAGTCATTTAGGACAGGATCTATATTTTACTAATTTCTCTTGATTGATTTTATTGCTTAGCCTGTAGTAAAAGTTCACTAATTATTACAAATGAATGATCTATGTTTTAGGAAGATAACTCTTGATAGCGTGGAGGATTTTAATGTAATAAGGCCTCTGTTGTCTTTCTGGTCTAGCTTTTCTAATTTGTCTACCTGCCTGGGATTTTCAACTAGTCAGGAAATACTCATTTACTGAGTTTTTATGGCATGTTGTTGCTTTGTTAAGCACTGAGGATACTCTGGAAAAGAATGTCTTTTCCTGTCCATAAGAGCTCAAGTTCAGGAGAGAAGGACATCTTCTTTTAGGATTCTCAAATATAATCCACCTACTGCCTTTGGTTATCTTAATTTTTCCGTTTCTCTATAATGTTCCAGAAGAGAAATTAGTTCAGAACTAAAAGCATATAGCTTTTTGGTACCAAACAAGAGAAGTGTCATGGTAGTCATTCCTATCCCTACTGGCAGCCAGGGAGCCCACTCTTAGTATAGAGAAAGAGAAGTTCAGGTATTTAATTGCACCTTGATTGTTTTGGATTTGAGAAAATGAAGCCAACTGCTGAAGTGACAGGGTAGCTGAAATTTAATTTGAGCATGATTAATTAGAATATAGGTTAGGACTTTGGAGACTGAGAGTTTCAGGGCTTATTGCAGTGAATAATGATGACCTAATGCTTAATATAGTATTGTTAGTTGAATATCAGTTTTAGAATTAAAACTTTCTGTATGAGACTATTCCTCATAATGGCAACACTTTTTGAACTGAATTAAAATATCCCTGGGGGTTAACCAATGTTGGAATGATCCTTTTTTTTTTCAAAGTAGATAATGGGGCCTTTGTCTTATATAAGAAGTGCCCAACCAAGAAATATTTGATTTAGAAATAACCTATTATTAGAAAGAGTAACCCTGGTATTGTTCTGTATAATACCATTTGCTTATTTTTATTGCCTGAGCAATCTTATTTTGGGAATCTGTAATCTTAAGGACCACTGAGGGCAGGGGAAGAAATGTAAAATTTTAGATAATTTGTAGTCTGGTGAGGTAAAGTAAGAAAAGCCACGACAATCAAGAACTGCTGAGGGCTTATAACCTGGGGAATTGGTTCCTAAGCATGTATGCTCACCCTGTGTACTGGTCTCTTGCCTAACTCTACCCACCCCACCCCCCTGTCATCACTTCCTGAAAATGTTTACTCCCCCTGTCCACAACCCATATTTTCACCAATTGGAAATTATTTGGATTAACAGGGTTCTTTTAATTTTTTTCCTTAATGCTAGGACTTGTAGGCAAAGTTAATTATTTCTCCTATAAAGTGAGGGTGATTTTATTCTGATTTCAACCTGGGATTACCTGTACTGGCTGTTTTGACTTGGAAAGGTGGTAGGGATGTAAGCAGTTTTAGAACAGACTTTGGAAAATCGGGCTGATTCAGTTCCCTTAACAAAGATTGCTGGAATAGAGGGTTTAGGGTCAGCACTAAGGGCAAGAAGAAAGGAGTACTAGAAAGTTTGAGGATACTGAAAGACAAACTTGGCTGGGTTTGTCTTGTCACAGGAAGAGGAAGGAGATGGTGACTCTCACTCTTGTCCCAGCTTCTTGGTTTCTTGATTCAGAACATAATAATAGTGGTACCATTGTTATGCACTATTATAACCCAAATATACCCATTTAAGGAATATTGACTGAACACCTCCTCTGTGCCAGGTAGTGTCCTAAGTGTTGCGACTACATATGTAAGCAAATAAAAATCCTTGCCTTCATGATGCTTATATTCTAAGCAAATCATATGATACATTAAAAGGTGATCAATGAGAAGGGGGCAAAAGAAGAAAGAGAGAGAGCAGGATAAGGAAGAATGAGAGTACTACTAGGGTGGTGAAGTGGCAATTTTAAACAAAAAAGTGAGAGTAGACCTCATTGAAAAGGTGAGTTTATTTAAGCAAAGAAACAGATGTGAGAGTGTAAACTGCAGATATTTGGAAGATCCTCCAGGCAAAGAGAACAGCTAGGGCAACAGTCTTAAGGTGTGAGCATGCCTGATGTGTTGAATAACAGCGAGGAGACCAGTGTGGCTGGATCAGAGTGATTGAGTGGGAGAGTGGTAGGGGGTGAGGTCAAAGTTGAGGGACCATATCACATGGAACTGGTGCAAGGTTTCTGACTCCCAATGCCAGGTGAAGCCAGTGGAGGTTTTGAGTGATATGATCTGGTATAGTTTTTTTCATTTTGTTTCTCTTTTATCTTTTCATTTTATTATGAACATTTTTAGACATATAGAAAAGAGTGAATAGTGTGAATACCCATAACTCTATCACCTAGAAGTATGTTTATTAACACATTGGTATAATTTTTTTGGGAAATATTAATTTATATTACAAATCGTGAATGGTTGCTCCTAAATACATTAATTTATATTTTTAAAAGTAAGGACTTTTAAGTTTTTTTTTTCTTCATTTATTTTTATTAGTTGGAGGCTAATTACTTTACAATATTGTAGTGGTTTTTGCCATACATTGACATGAATCAGCCATGGATTTACATGTGTTCCCCATCCCGATCCCCCCTAAGGACATTTTTGTATACAACCATGATACTAATTTTATATCTAACTAGATTGCTATCATAGCTCAGACCATATTCAGATTTTCCAAGTTGTCCCCCAAATGCATTTTACACCTGGTTTGTTCAAATGATGATACAGTCAAAGACCACACAAATATAATATTTGATTTTGAGGATTTTTTGCTCTCTTTTAATTTAGAATAATTTCCCCCACCCCTTCCATTAATAGCAGTGACTTATTGAAGAGAACATTCCCAAAGAAGACTCCACCTTTTGGATTTATCTAATTGCTTTTTGTGGTTGGTTTAATTTGTTCTTTATCCCCTGTTTTTCTTATATGCTTGGAGTTAGGGCTAAAGGCTCGACTATGTTCAGGTAAAATATTAGTGGCAAAAATACTTCATAGGTTGTGTTATATGTTTCATATTTCATAGCATCTAATACTGACTTCTAATATTTCAGTAAGTTGATGACAACATAATCCCTTCATTATACAATGACATTTCCCCATCTTGTCAACAGCAAGTATCTGTAGGTTGATATTTGGGAACATGTGAATATCCAGTTTTTCATGAACCTTTCATTAAGTGTAATGTAACTACATGGATGGTAGTTTTCTGAGTCAGTTATTTCCTTTGGGGTTCCAAATTGTTGGTTCACTAATTTTATCTTGCCGTCTACATTATGAGTCATCGGTTGTCCCTTATCAACTTGATTATTTGGTTATCCTGCAGTACAGTTCCTACTAGAAAGACAGACAAATACTTCAGTTTTTTTCCTACATTAATTACTAGCCATCAGAATAAGGAGTTTCTTTTTTTCTTTTTTTTTTAGAATAAGGAGTTTCTTTAGTAGACACATCTAATGGTGACATGAGTGATATGTGTGTGAGAAAGAGACAAGAGAGACAAAAAAAGTGTGTACATGTGCATTTTGACTTAGGTTTTTGAAGAATCGATATGGTTATGGTAGTAGTGGAAATAGATGATGTTCTGAATATATTTTGAAGGTAGAGCCAATAGTATTTGCTGATGGATTATATATAGAATGTGAGAAAGTAGAGTTAAGGACTGTCCTAAAATTTTTTTTTTGGACTGAGCAGCTAAAAAGATAATTTTCGTCATCAACTGAGATAGGGTAAATTTCAGGTGGAATGAGTTTGGAGTACTGTGGGCAGGAATCAGGAATTTAGTTTTGGGCATGTTAAGTTTGAAATACCTGTTAGAAATTCAGGTATCCAAGTGGAG